ACTATGAGATGCTAAATTTAACTGAGAATACTTACTAATGGGTTTTCTAATAGGTAACGAGGCACTAGGAAGTGACTTACCCCTAGGTGAATACTTGACGGGTTCCTAAGTCTAAAGCAAAGATGTTATGTTTGGGATCGCGATATAGCCGTTGCACGACACTACTCACTCTATACCTCTCGGTAGCTTGAGTGACTTTGCCCGAATTGACTTTCTCAAGACCAATTGGGTGTCGAAATTAAGCAAGCAACGTAGGCTCAAGTCGGGTATTACTATCTCTAGATTTAACCCTTTTATTGGGGCTATCAATCTCTTGAGTACGCCCCAATTTCTTGTTGGACTGATTTCCTAGACTTAAGCTCTCTTTCTCAAGAAGAGCCCAAGTCACTTAGGCACAAATTAGTGTTTGCAACCACTAATCCAACATACAAAACACAAATCAGTCCAAATATCAACAACCCATAAACACCTAAGCATTAAAACATAAGACCCATCAAATACCCACACTAGGGTTGAGCCACAACCCTAGCTAATGGGTCTAGCTACTCATAATTATGGAAGAAAACAAGAAATTAGATGAAGTATAACTCATAATATTAAATTACAAACTAAGATAATGAAGATTCAGCCTAAATGTGGCTACAAATTACTCAAAATGGAACAAAAGAGTAGTTCACGTGCTCAACCCAAAGTCAGATTACAAAAAATGACCTAAAAATGTGAAAAGAAAGTATTTATACTAGGTCAAATTTTCTGGACAAAAATACCCCTGACGAGGTAATGCGTCCGCACAAAATGCACCGCGGACCACGCTGAGGATTTTTGGCTTGACTTTGCATTCTCTGAATCTGGCCACCGCGGGCCGCACAAAATGCACCGCGGCCGCGGTGGCTTTAATGCGGTCCGCACAAAATGGCTTGCGGACCGCGCTGGCTTCAATCTCCATTTTTCATAACTCTTTGAATCTCATTTCCACGGACTGCACAAAATGCTTTGTGGCCGCGGTGAGGCTACTGCGGTCCGCACAAAATGGTTTGCGGCCGCAGTGCTTGAGTAACCAAAAGCTGCACCTCTCTGAATCTCATCACTGTGGACCGCACAAAATGGATTGTGGCCGCAGTGGATCTGTTTCAACTGTGCTTGGACTTGTCCTTGGTACTTGTGCATGTTTCACTCCTTTTTGAGCTGGTTTTGACTAATTGTCACCATTTTAACCAAACCCTACAAACAAGTACGACATGTAAGCCTTTGGGACTATTTTGTATACATTTTTAATCAAAACTCAAGTAAAAAGGAGTGTAAAATGAACTAGAACCCCTAGTTATCAGTAGGGTTGTCCGGTGGGATAGTTATGATGTGAAATGAGGATAGTGTCACTGTTGGTGAGACATCCACTACCCCTCAGGGCATCCATGCCATGGTGAAGGTACTCCCATCCCACATCCCTTGGTTATTTTCAGCCATTTATGCTAGCAACATATTAACTGATAGGAAATTATTATGGGAAAGTCTGGTTATTATCTCTAAAAGCAATATTGGGAGCTGATTTTTAGGTGGAGACTTCAATGAAGTCTTAAAAGCTAGGGAAAAATTTGGGGGGTAACCCCATTAGCTCAAGTCGTAGTAACCTATTTTGGAACTGCCTTAATGAATGCAAACTAGTTGACTTAGGTTACAAAGGCGGTAAATTCACATGGACTAACAAAAGATACAAAAACATGAGTAGTCTAATTTTAGAAAGGATAGATAGGTGCTTTGCTAACGACTGCTGGATTTCCCAGTACCCTGAGGCTATTGTTAATCATCTCCCTAGGACCCACTTAGATCAGTTCCATATTCAAATAATGCTAAAGGGGGATTCCATCAATAATTCAAACAAACCCTTCACGTTTGAATCAACTTGGACTAGCCTCCCCTCCTTTCCTAGTATCACCAATGAGGCCTTCACTAATAACTCCTCCCTAATCCAATCAACTGAAACATTCAAAAGCCTTGTGACACAGTGGAATAGGCACACTTTTGGCAACATCTTCCACAAAAAGAGAATGATCCTGGCCAAAATTGCTGGAATCCAAAAATTACCAAATTACCAATTCAACAATTACCTGCTAACCTAGAAAGTAACCTAACCAAAGAGCTTAACTCCATCCTCACGAATGAGGAATACTTCTGGAAACTCAAGTCAAGGGTCAATTGCCTAACTGAAGGTGATGCCAACACTAGATTCTTCTACACTTCCACCCTTAATAGGAGAAGAAGGGACAGGATCCTGTCCCTCAAAGTGGATAGTGGAAACTGGCTCTATGAACAAGGGGACATTAAGCCTATATAATGCACTTCTTCAGGAGCCTCTACACTTCCTCTCACACACAAGCTCCCATTTCCACTACCAGTCATCTGGACATGACCCATATCCTATCAGACTGTCAAAGAGACAGCTTGGATAGGTCCCTTGAGGTCAGTGAAATAAAAATGGCTGTTAGAAACTAAGCGTCCACCAGACTGTATAGAGAACCAAATTCTCTATCAGTTCCTACTGTAAGCAACAGACTGTAAAACCAAATAGTATAGGGAATCAGGTTCTCTAATTGTACCCACAGTAGCTCAGCAGTAAATAAAGAACACAGAGGATTTTTACGTGGAAAAATCCCAACTCAAGGGGACAAAAACCATGACCTACACTTGTAGGCTTTCAACTTCACTAACTTGTAAACACCTATTACAAGCCACTTTGTAATGACTCCATTACAAAGACTTCAACTCAACTAACTTGTGATACTCTTACCATAAGTCATTTTGTCACTCTCTAGTTACAAAGACTTTAACTAACTTGTGATACTCTACCACAAGCCACTTTGTCACTCTCTAGTTACAAAGACTTTAACCACTCTAACTTGTAATAACACTATTACAATCCAATTTGTAATAACTCTATTACAAAGGATTCACAACTCGACTAACTCTAGCCAAGACACAAACACAAGGGTTTATGATTTACAAAAGGTTTCCTACACAATGCTTCTAACTAAGCTAAGTAGGAGTTACAAATGAAGAACAAACCTAAGGACTTGAGATATATTCAATCTTGGATCCGGTCCTTGAGGTTGCAGCAACTTTGTTCTTGAGAGAGGTTGTTGCTAGCACTTGAGAGAATGTTTTCTTTTCTGATTTGCAAGTGGTGGGCGTCTTGTGCCTTGCACCAGGTTGTTATACTTCAAAAGACATCACCATGGTGATGTCAATTCATAATGGTGATGTCAAATCTTGGTTAATACATGCCTCTTCCCAATGGGAAGTGACTGCTGCACTGTCTGCTGCACTGTCCCGTGTACAGTTGTAGGCAGTCACTTTCTGCGGTTGCTTTCCAGCTGTATAGTTGAATCATACTTCTGCCAGGGGAACACCAAGGTATCAGGTCCCTAATCTGGTTCCTGTGAATCTAAAGGCACACTGCCCAGATTATCTTGAGTCGATTAACTTGAATGATTGTACCAGGCATGCTTCAGGTCCTTTATCTGGTTCTCTCATGAAGTAAGTTGTTTTACCTTCCTTGATTGTATTTATATATGTGTGACATCACTTACAATGATGTAAGCAAGGTAGGTAAAAAGCCTTCCACAGAAAGTTTACTGCTGCACTGTTCCTGCACAGTAGCGTGTGCAGGCAGCAACTTTCCAGCTGGAGAGTTGACTTCATACAGTCTCCTCGGGAACTGATAGGGACCTGTTCCCTCAGCTGTTCCTTCCACTCTGAAGAGTTGAGTTATATCCCACGCTGGATCCCAACCTAGAACTTTGTGATCTCAAGGTCTTGTAAATGTGTAACATGTTCCTTATCTGGTTCTCGATGGTAAGTTTGTTAGATCATTAAAACATAAAGTCAAGTACTTATGCCCAAAGTACGTGTAACCTATCAATGGCCATCTTCTTCTTCAAGCCATTCAAGGTACCTGGTCCAGATGGGTTTCACCCCTTTTTTTCTTTACCAAAGGGACTGGAGCATTGTAGGGAACTCAGTAGTTGACTTCTGCAAGCAATGCTTTGACACACAGTCCATGGATGAGACCATGAATCAAACTGTACTCTGTCTCAATCCCAAGTATCCCCAAGCCACTATGCTCAAAAACTTCCGGCCAATAGGGCTTTGTAACACACTATGATCATAAAAATTAACATAATCTAAAAATACTATATAGGTCATGCTAAAATAAGTATTCTAATAAGTATTATTAATTACATAACTAAGCACTGAAGAAAAAGATAAATTAAGTTATGCATTTTCATTATAAATCGATCGAAAACTAAAAAAGATATCCAACACTATCGTCATTCCTAGTGTTGAATTGAATTTCTTTTGTTAGCATTAGTATTGATTTGAACTTTATTTGAGTTACTACATTTATGGCAATAAAATTTATTCATCATTCAAGAATGTTAAGTCGAAACTTGAAATAATACATTAAAATATAAAACTGTAAAAAGGTTTAAGAAATATTTATAAATTACATTACAATAAATATTTCTATGAATAATATATTTTAAAAAATTGTATAAATGTACTATCAGTTTCGGTTTGGTTTCGGTTTGACTTTTTTTAGTTAAAATCAAACCAAACCAATTATGGTCGGATTTTTTTTTCAATACTAAACCAAATCAAACCAAACCACTATCGGTTCTTTTTTTCTGGTTTGACTCGGATTCTCGGTTTGGTGCTTTATCGGTTTTCTTTGTACACCCCTATCTGCATCCATACGTAATATTTGATGTAATACGTATTAGAGAAATGACTGATTTGGCATAAAGACCTTTGTATTTTGAGTTATTATTTAAAAAAAATATATTTTATTTAAATTTTGAGGTTAAAACTTGTAGTGAAGATGCTTTCAGGAAGTTTGTAAGGACCTTCGTAATTTGAGGTTAACCATTAATTTTCTTAACTGAAATAACTACCATACAATAGCTTTAACTTCTTTTTTTCCTTTACAATTTATAAGCACCCCCAAAACCTCAATTCACAAATATATATCATCAAATCACCATTGATGATGGCAGCTAAGGCTAGGATTTCTGCAGCTATTTTACTAGTTTGCATTATCCTTCCTTTGCTAGCCTCAGCATTTCTTGATCATCTTCCTGAAGTTCTAGAACATGATTCTAGAATTAAAGATGTAACAATCCGTGGTGATAATAATATTGTTGGTGCCAATGACAATGACTTTACTCTTCCTCGCTCACATGAGAAAAAGAATGAAAGATCCTTAAAAGAAAAGAAGTCAAAGAAGAAGAAGCATAAGAAGAAGAAGAACAAGAAGGGAAAGAAATCACACAAAGATAAAACTTTCGATTTTGACCATATTTTTGGAGGAAACCAACAAGAAGGAGATGAATTTTCCCCTTATTTGCAACCAGTTGATGCGCCTCAAACAATAGAAGAACAAGAACAGGCAGAGAATTATGATGGATTACGAGAGGGATTTTACCAGAAAACATGTCCTCATGCAGAGAATATTATAAGAAATGGCCTAATCAGGGCCTTTCAGAATGACTCTACCATTGCTGCTGCATTTCCTCGCCTTCTCTTGCATGATTGCTTTGTCAATGTAAGTCCTCCCCAACACTTCCCAATGAAGTCCAAGTATAACTCATACAATCTTCAATTTTGGTGGTAAGTGCAACATATTAGTCTAACCAAAATCATGAATTTGATGTACAGGGATGTGATGGGTCGATATTACTAGATACAACACCCAGTGGTGCAAGAGTGGAGAAGTTAGCAGGGACAAATGGTGCTACAGTCAAGGGATTCGAACTCATAGACGAGATCAAAGACGAGCTCGAGAGACAATGCCCTGGCATTGTCTCCTGCTCTGATATTTTGGTATATTTGTCGCGCGATGCCTTTGTTTTATCAGGCCTCCCCAATTACAACGTGCTAGGTGGTCGACGCGATGGCATGGAATCCAATGAAGCAAACATTGTTGGAAACCTACCACTTCCTGGCGACACAGTGGATCAAATGATTGATCTTTTTCAAAAGAAAGGCCTAAATTCGGAAGATTTGGTTGTCCTAATTGGTGCACATTCAATTGGAGTAGCCCATTGTTTCAACTTCCTTTATAGATTGGATGAACCTGAAAAGGCACAAATGTTAGATCCAAGGCTTGCTGGAGTCATGAGATTTATGTGTACGAACCAAATGAATACCTTACCTTTTGATCCCACAACACAGTACAAGATGGATTCAATTTTCTACAAGCAACTAATGATAAAGAAAGGGTTGATTGAATCGGATCAAATATTGGCTCAAGATATTAGAACGAGGGGCTTTGTGCAAAAGTTTGGTGATGATGAAATGGGATGGTTTGATAAGTTTGGTAAGGCTATGAATAAATTGGGAGCAATTGAAGTGCTCACTGGAAACCAAGGCCAGATCAGGAGACAGTGTAGAGCTGTTAACTGAAAATTGGATATATTTAGTGCTTTAATTGGGAATTTATATATAATCTCTTCCAAAAACTAGGTAGGGAAATTGATGATTTGTCCAACTGCTTGCATATTTCGAGTGTACGGACAATAACTATATTTGAAGTTGTTCGACCAAACAAAATCATATATTCTGAAGATGTTAAAGAATGTGTGTAACATGTATGGTTTCAAACAATTACACTATTTAGTAAAAAAAAAAATTGTGAAATACAATAATTTCACGACACATTGGCAAGAAACATGGGTTGTTGACTAGTATTTACATAATACCAAAAATAAAATTAAAGCAACATCAGGAGGAGATTGTGGTCGTGAAATAGTTGTGGGGTCCTTCCTAGTAGACTCGAGGATTTTGAATGAGACTTGAGATAAAAATGTTTATCAAATTAGAATTCGTCGAAGAATTGAAATATAGATGATTACTCGTGACATTTAGTAATGTAACAGCTAAATAGAAAACTTCCACTCTTATTTATACATTTTAATATCATATATACCTAGAGGAAGAAGTGAATCTGAAATTATGAAATGAATGCTGCACATTCATAAATTCTAAAAAAGGAAAAAAAGAAAACAATATTTTTATCCAGTTAATTAGTACACAAAACTGAAATATATATCTACGATTCATTATTTTACATTGGTAACATAGTGTCATGCCCCGAAATTGGGGTGGAAGGTGATTGCGCTCAACCTACCTTACTTGTCAAGTAAGCCATTTCTATGTTACTGTAAGTGCTCAGAAGTTTTTCAAATATAGTAGACAAGATGAACATATAAAAATCATACAGATTCTGATAAAATGCAGAGTTACAGAGGAACTCCAAGGACAAGGTCCACACAGTATCATATTGGTTCACAAAAGTTCAAGTAACACAGATGTACAGAAGCATGAACACAAATAGGGAGAGAATTGAATTGCAAGAGTCTAACTACTCACCAGTTTGCAGAATTGACGAGCAAATAAAGGAGAAAACTAAGTGCCAGCAACAACTCGATTATCAGTAGCAAAAAGAGAGCAACATGACCCCAAACCCAGGGCGTCAGAGTCCACAAGAACTTCAGACGAGCCCGGAGTAGTGCTCGCAGTGGGACCAATAAAGCGGCTTCCGATGCCCTTGGCTTTTAGCCGGCTAAAATCAAGAGTTTCAGAAAAGTGTAAGCAAGCAAGGGAGTGATCATGATTCAAAGTGTGCTTTAGGGGAATTGGGG